ACCACCTTGTGACACATCCCTCCAAGCCAAGCAAAGGGGAGAACCCACCTCACCCACCCCCAGCAATGGATAAAGGACAGGGTTTAACCCAAAGCACGCCCAAAGTTTATCCTCCAGCCCGATCCATGAGTATCAGAGCTAGAGCAGCACATGCCTGAGAGGGGAAACACTTCACCGTCCCTCCCTCTTGGGAGGGAAACACGAAAAGCACTTCAGAAAGATCCCCTTCCTATGGGCTCTGCACCTCCATTTTCACAGACATGGATATGAAAGATTATCAGCATTATTAACTGCTACCCCAAACCAGCAACAGCATAAAACCCCTGAAAAAATCAAATGGAAAAAGATTTTTCTAGGATGAGCCAAGCTCAGCAGTGGTCACATCCATGCCCACCACATCCACCCCGGCCAGGGTGGGCTCTAGAGCAAAACAAACATTTAGGAAACAGTCAAGGGAAGAGAAGGAACTGGACAGAGAGCCCCGGAGTGACACATGGCCTGACACCCGTGCCTGGCACCTGCCTCACCTCCGACGCGGCCGCAAGCTCCTGCCGGGCATCCAGGCCTGGCCAAAAGGACCCAGCACCAAGCAGGAAGGTGTTAAAAGTCCCCAGGAGTAACCTCTGAGGAGCCACAATAAATAACCTCTGAGTAAACACAGCGGCTGCTCCCCATTCGCCTTCCTGTTTGCTTTCGCAGATCCGGGCTGGGACGGCCACTTCCAGCCGCCGGCCCCATCCCGTCCTGGCGCAGCGCAGCTCCGGCCGCGGCACCGGGCTGGCACTGCCACCCTGCACCCGAATTCGGGGCACCTCGGGCCCCGAACCGGCCCTGCCACAGGCTTCCCAAAGGGATTTATCCCCCAGAAAGGCACTGCCACCCTGCACCCGAATTTGGGGCACCTCGGGCCCGAACCAGCCCTGCCACAGGGCACACGGGCACCAGCTTCCCACAGGGATTTATCCCCCGGGCTGGCACTGCCACCCTGCACCCGAATTCGGGGCACCTCGGGCCCTGAACCAGCCCTGCCACAGGCTTCCCAAAGGGATTTATCCCCTGGAAAGGTATTGCCACCCTGCACCCGAATTCGGGGCACCTCGGGCTCCAAACCGGCCCTGCCACAGGGCACCGTGGGCACCAGCTTCCCAAAGGGATTTATCCCCTGGAAAGGCACTGCCACCCTGCACCCAAATTCGGGGCACCTCGGGCCCGAACCAGCCCTGCCACAGGCTTCCCAAAGGGATTTATCCCCCCGAAAGGCACTGCCACCCTGAACCCGAATTTGGGGCACCTCGGGCCCTGAACCAGCCCTGCCACAGGGCACACAGGCACCAGCTTCCCAAAGGGATTTATTCCCCAGACAGGCACTGATCCTGCATCTGAGCCCGCTCCTGATGCCTCTTCCTTCCTGCTCTATGTTTGTTTTGATTCCTAAAAGAGGAAATCCCAGCTCACCCACTCCCCAACAGGGAGCCATGCCCCGCTCTGTGCCTCAGTTTCCCCTTCTCTCCAGCATGGGAGCCCCACACCATTCAGACCCCCCTCTCTCTCCCTGCCCATACAGTCCTGGGGGAAAAAAAAAAAAAGAAAAGCAACGGGTCCTGATTTAAGGGCACTTCTGTGCTTCACCAGGAACACAAAGGAGAGGGAAAAACGACAACTCACAGCGAGGATCTGTGTCAGGAGCAACAAGGGGGTCCGGGGCAACCCCCCCTGGCAGAGCAGCGCCGACCGTGCAGGCTGACAATAGATAAGGGTCTAAATTCGGCGCTGGGCTCCGGCCCCGGGCTCTGTAAGGCGATCGGGGTGGGGGAGTGCCGAGCTGTTTATTTGGCTCCAAACTCCGCACCGACACTGCAGCGTCACCCGCGTTTAAAATAGGAAGGAACGAAAAGAAAGGGGGAAAAAAAAATAAAGAAAGAAATAAAAAGGGAGAAAAGTGCATGCACGCGTCGAACAATAACAACAAAATAATAATAAAAAAAAATTAAAGAGAAAAGGAGCCAGAGGGGCGGGGGGGGTAATAAAAGGAAACCCAGTTGGGCTGGCGAGGTTTAAAGCGACGCCTGCCTTAAAAAAAGAAGTTGCTAATTTTAACTCTCCAGTGGAAAGAGTGAGAGGTACTTACAGGAGACAGGGTGGCTGCGTCCTTTTGCGCGGCCGCTGCTCCGGGAGGAAGCGCAGGACGGAGCCGCCATCCCCGAGCGCGCCGGGCCGGGCCGGGCCGGGCCCGAGGCCCCGAACCGAGCGGGGTGCGCGGCACGGCTGAAGGGCAGGGGCAGATGAGGAGGCAGGAGGGGCTGGAGAAGCCCGTGGGGGGACGGCAGAGGCCGGAGCTGGCCAGAAGCAGCGGCCGGAGCCGGCCAGAAGCAGCGGCCGGGCCGGGCTGGCTGGCTCCGGAGCCCGAAGCCGGGGCCGGGCCGCGGGGCGCGGAGCCGCAGGACCCCCGGGAGGCGGGGGCCAGCTGCCGGGTCAGATGACATTTCTGTTCCTGACCGAGCTGGCTTTTCCCCAAGGGAAAAGGGCTTTGAAGACGCGGTTTCCCCCCCCCCGCCGCCCCCACTCCCCGCCAGTGGCAAAATAGCGGATGAGCTCAGAACCCACAGCGCAGGGCAGTGCCATGACCAGAGAAGGCCACCCGGCTCCACGGGGACTGGAAAGGTGACCTCCAACAGCTCAGCCACATTTCAGCTGCGGCAAACACAGCAGGAGCCCAGTGCTTTACCAAATTCAGTATTCCATATTCAAAAGGGTCGAGAGTGGGGGTTTGGTTTCAGTGCTGGGTTTTACAAGCTCTCCCAGGAGATCAGGAGGATCTTGCCAGTCGCAAAGATCCAGGTGCCAGGTGAGGTGGCACGCTCACACCTCAGGACAGTGGGAGCCTGCAAGTTGCAAACTCCAGTTGCCAATGAACCTTCAAGAGAACACAGGCAAGGCCTCAGACAGCAGAGGAACAGACCTGGTGACCCAAGGGCTCTTCCCAAGCAGCTGGAAATCAGCCTCAGGATGCAAAATCTCACTGGGAGAGGAGCAGGGTGGCACATCCCTGCACTCAGGGATGGACATGTGATTTACCAAGCATGGCTGCAGCAAGACGATGCGACCTTCGTCAGGACACGAAAGAGTCCATTCAGTTAAGGTCACAGGCCCTAGAAGAGTCTTCTGTCACAGAAGAAGGTTTGCCTGCTTCGCCTCAGATGGGGTTGGCCTCAGACAAAATGCCTATTGATCGCAGGCAGCGATGCTGCACGCCCAGGACGCGAGGACATGGCTTCAGGGGGATTAAATCGCCCGGTGCCGGCCGTCACACGCTTCCGACGCTGGGTCGATACTGCTCCTCTAATTGCTCAGCTCCTGTCACTTGCACTGCCAAGGGAACAAGTCTTAAAGCAGTCCCCAGAGATGCTTTTCCAAATCCTCCTCCCCGAGTGCACCACTTGCTGAGCTGCTCCTTGGAGCGAGCAGTTCTGCAGCTGCAGAAATCACTAAACTGCTCCTCCTCACTCAAACTCTGTGCTGGCAGCAGTGGTAGTATCAGGGCTTTGCAGGAGGACGCTGCCAACCCAAAACCCAAGAATTTGTGTGAAACTAGAACACAAGGAGCTGTTGTCACCGGTCAGGACGGAGCTGGCGGCGTTGGGCGCCGCGTCCAGCAGCAAGCAATGATGTGGGGGAGGACACAGTGACCGAGAGATCTGCCAGCACCCACCAGCATCCGGGCTGAGGCACGGAATGAGCACGGTCCATCAGGACCGCGGTGTTTGGGAGCCCCCCATGCACACCCCACAGCAGACAGACCCACTGCCCCATCACTCCAAGTAATCACCACGCCGAAACGTGCCCCATAGCTACTACTACATAGAGGAGTGGATCAGAGCTGGTCCCACACCAGCCCCCCAAACACTCCTGGAGCACTCAGCTCAGCCACAGTGGGACAGACCCGGCCAAGCCCTCAAACCCTTCTGTCCCCTTGGAACACCACAGCCCAGCGCTGGCACACACCAAGCACCACTGAGACACAGCAGGGCCCTTCTGCTGCACTCCCCCTGGCCCATCCTGGGGAGCTGCTCTTGGTTTCTATTAGCAGATGAAGCTCTTGGTGTTGACCTTGCAGAGGACGCAGTGATGCTGCCCCCATCTCCCATCACCAGGCCTCCAAATAAATTACCTGCCCCATCTCCAGCACTAAAAGTCACCACAACCCCACAAAACTGCTCACTAAGCAGTCGTGACAGAGCCCCCTCCGTTCAGGAGCTAGGGGCATATTATTTTTAAAAATCTTTCCTCTTATTGATTTCACTCTCAGGTACAGAAGATGCATTTCATGAAACCATAGAGCCGTCATAAACCAACCCGCAGTGGTGTCTGTACCACAACCTCACTGCAGACACAGGAGACACAAACATTTACTGGAAGAGCAATAAACAGGCCAAGAAGGTTGAAAAGGAAGAAAACCTGGACATGAGGCCCTCTCTTAGCAGCACCTTATTTCAGAGGAGTGCAAGGGACAAAATAACAGCAGGTTTGGCCACAATTTTGTCCACACTGGGAGAAAACAGGGCAAGAAAACCCTCCTTTGCACTGATACACAGGGCTGTGTTGCAAAACACCCAGAGAGCCCCAAATCAGTGCTGTGGCCACGGCTGGGAGCCATCAGAGCTGCGCCAGATGGGGAAGTGAAGGGGAAGACGGGCACTGGAGAACAGCAGCGGCACGCACTGCTGGGCACCACCTCCCTGCCCTGCTCTGGGGGCTCTGCTGCCCACCCCACACCCCAGGACCCCCGTGTGCAGAGCAGGGTGCTCCCTGTGCCCTTCCTGCACCAGATCTCACTGGAGCAGGGCTGCAGGCTCTGGTCAGCACCACTGAGAGCCCTGAGCTGCATGCAGCTGCATCCTCTGTGAGCCTCTGCTTGCTGCCAGCCTGCAGCAGGGGAGACACACACGGCCAAGCAAACCCAAAGGGAAGGCAGGAACCCAGAGTTTGGGTTTCCCCCATACCTGCTACGCAGCCTCCTGCATCTTCTGCTCCTGCCAGGGATGAGCTGCAGCCACCGCTCCTCAATCCAACTGCAAAGACAAAGCAAGCAGTTGTGAGTCTGAGAGGACAGAGGCGGGGACAGAGGCAAGGACAGGACTCCCCACATGTCCCATCCAAGCACAGCCAGATGGAGGAACAGCCCAGTATCCCCTGCAGCCCTGATGGGACAGGGGCTGCAGGCTCCCCTCCTGCGCTGCCCTGATCCTCAGCATTGCTGCCAGGGCCATGCAGGCTGGGTGAGACCCGGCCAGGCCCCTGCAGGGATCCAGGGAACCAGGAGCCCTGGGACTATGCAATGTGGAAAGCATCTCGGTGAGACCAGAGGGAAAGAAATTAAGAAGAGTTCAGGAATCATAAACCAAAAGTTAACATTAACGAGGGATGCAGCCCAAGCTGACAGCGTGGCCAGCAGAGGTTTGTTCAAAGTTTAGTTGAATTTTGTGTTTTCTGGGAAGATTCTCATGCACATCCCACAAGAAAAAGCACTGACCCGCTTGCTCAGACACTGGCCCGAGGAGAATCTGCCATGGCCCAGAAGGAAACACGGCTCCTAAACTCATCCCACTCACCACTGCAAGATGGGAGGAGACCCTTGGGGCAAAGCCCAGTGGTTTCAGCTGGCCTTGTGCTGGTGGTCACACGCATCTGGCACTTGTGCAGAGCCCATCACCACAGCACACTCCTGTGAGGCAGTTCCCTCATGAGGAACGTTCCCTGTGAGGAGAACGGCGCTGAACAAAAGGGAAACTGAGGCACAGAGGCCAGCACCCGCTCTTCAAACACACCGCCAGCTCCCAAACTGCAGCCTCACCCCCAGCACCTGCAACAGAGCGAGGAATTGTGCTCAGCTTTCCGGCGTCCTCATCCTCCGCTCCAACCACAAAACCAGCCTTCCTCCCCCGGCTGCCTCCCCTCCCACAGCCAGCTCATTTCCTGACATTACAAAATTCACCCTGAACAAAGCTGGAGCGAGGAGCGCGTGGCTCCGGCCGGGGCTGCACCTTCCTCTCGCTCCGGAGCAGCCAAGCCGAGGGGACACCCCCAAAGAGACGAGGTGCAAGCGGCTTTCCAGCCTCAAACCTCACAGCACTTGGGCTGGAGTCCTGCAAATGGACCAGTCACAGGGATCCCCTCTCTTCCACAACGGGGGAGCGGTGGGGACAAGGATGGGGGGCTCCAGCTACTGCCACACTCACACCCAGTTAAGCCCAGACCAACCCGTCACCCCCTCAGGACCACTCCTTTATTTCCCTGAATAAAACAGTGTCCTGCAGGGTACTGACCACCTGGGGACAGGGACACCCACAGAAGAATCACCACCTTACACGTGCCACGCTCCCAGCCAGGACGAGGGAAGTGGCCAAGGGTCTCTCAGGGGGTTCTGAACCTCCTCTCGGTGTCCAAGCAGCTCTCACCAGCCTCACACTGCTCTGCAGGGCTGGTGGCAGAGCCACGTGGGGACCAGGGACCACAGGCTGGGCTGAGTGGAGGATGTGGCCGAGGTTTGTGCCCAAGCTGGCTTTGCTTTGGGGGGTTGGGGTCAGCTCTGCAGCCCAGCAGGATGCAATGGGGGCCATGTGGCCAGGCAAGACCTCAGATGTCTGTACAGAGTTGTTTCCTCTCATGGGAGATGCCACTAGGCACACCAGGAATGTCCAGGGTGCCCGTGGTGCCATGGGACAGCCGGTACAGCCACACAGTCACCACTCACCACTCCTGCCCTGACACAACTGCCCGTGGCTGGTGGTCAGCAGTAGCCACATCCCTGCTCTCACAGCCCACCAGGACAATGACTTCTGGACAACAGCTGAGCCCACGCAGCCCTTGGCCACGCCACAGTCCCCACATGGTCACAACTAACAGCAGTGCCTTTGCCAGCCCGATCTGGCAGACGAGCTGACCCTTGTAGGGCCAAGGTGGGGAACTCCAGGGGGAGCAGGATTGCTTTTGGGGTGTTCAGCCTGCAGGCAGTTCTGACATCACAGTCCTGAGACCCTGCCCCTCTCCAGCCTGACAGCTCCAGGGCTGCTTCACGCCCTGCCCAAGCTGCAGAAGCTGCTGCCCTTTGGACCTGGTGGTACTTCCAGCACCAGCAAACCCCAGTGAACCCCCAAGTCCCCATTTTGCAACATTTTGAGCTGGTACAAAGGAGCAAAGCCCCCACTCACTGGCACTGCCAGCTCCCTTGTCTGTCCATGCATGTCCTTTGCCCCATCCAGTGAGCATCCTGGCACTGCTCCCAGAAACTCTGGAGGATTTCCAGAGGTGACCATGAGACCTGCACAGTGAGAGCAGGCCCTGCTGAGGGTCAGGCCACTCCCAGGGCTCCTGGGCAGCTCCCAGCTCTCACCCCACCACACATGTGCCTTCGAAACCTTCTTGTTACTGACAGAGAAACGCTGCCCAGGGAAGGGGGAAAGCATCCTGTTTTCAAAATGTTGTTATTTTATAGGCTGAGGGGGAAAAACACATAGGGGAGGGATGGAGGTGGCACAGACAAGTTAATTCCCCTTTCTGAGTGAAAAAAGAAGGAGAGAAAGGGCTAAAGACAAGACAATCTTTATGTTCAGCTTTGGGGCAGAAATACTGAGCAGGTGCTAACACTCTTCCTATTTGAAAACCACAGCTTTGGCTTCACCAAGTAACAAACCAAAATTCCTGAGGGCAGGAGAACTAGGGATCCTCCTGGGATCCCCATTTTTAACTGAAGCAGTTAGGCTGGCACAACCTGCCATGAAAAGACAGCAGGGAGCTGCTCCAACCTGCTCGTAATGATCCTGGAGGATGTGCAGGAATGGCTTTTGGTGACTTTCCTGGATATCTGCTCTGCTGATGCTCAGCAGTCCCTGTGCCACAGCCAGTCTTTGCTTACACCCTCAAACACTTATATATTCCCACAAAATATATGTATATTATATGTGTATTCCCACACACATAATATATGTGTATTCCCAAACACATAGCCCTCACAAAATACACATATTCCCATATATATAACCCAGCAAATATATATTTATTCCCCCACATGTATAGATAAACCCCAAATACATATTTATTCCCATGTATATAAACCCCAAATACATACAACCCCTGCCTACATCACATATACATATCATGCCCCCAAATAAATATTCTTCCAAGCACAGGGCTGGAAAGTCAAGGGGAGATGGATGGGCAGAATAAGCAGCTTTGGGGCTGGAGGGGCCAAGAGGGAGGCGCAGATTGCGGAGGGGAAGAGCTGTGACCGCAATCTCTCCTTCCTCTTTTTTTCATGTTTCCTCTAGCAACGGGCTCAGGCTGCAAACATTTGGATGCCAAACCCGAACTTCCCCACCTCGGGCTCCCAACCCAGCCCACCGCTCCTCTGCCAGGTGCTCACGGACTCCCACCCCAAACTAGGGGGACCCTACACCCCAATTCCCAGAGCTGTGCCATGTCAGTCTCAGGGAGTCCCAAAACAGCAGGGATCAGACAAAATTTTAAAAAAAAAGAAAAAAGAAAAAAAAGTACTTTCTCAATTTTTCTCCACTTCCCAAGTCCACAAAACTAAAGCGTCCCAGCCATGGATGGGATGGTTCAAGCCTTCAGTTTGCACCAGCCACTGGGAATATCCCCAAGTTGGAAACCCAGTTGGGTTTCCTCTGGCTTGACACCAAGAGGTGGGAAGGAACAAACTGGGAGAGATCTCACTCCGAGCAGGAGCATCAGGCAGGACGGGTTCCAGTAAAACACAGTGAGGAGCCCCAGCTCCCGACCACCCAGTGGTGCCAGGGTCCCAGCAGCACAGCAGGAGGAAACCCACCCAGAGGTGAGCAGTGACCAAGAACCAGCCAGCTGTGCTGGGACATCATGCAGAGCATGACCAGCTCCACTGGAGCCCCTCCAAACCCCCAGAGGGATGGTGTGACCCACATCAAGGTAGGGTAGGAACTGTTGGGGTTCACACCCCTGCTCCACCAGGTCACCCTGCAGAGGTGTTGCCTCACCAGGGCCCCAGCGTGGCACCAAATCCAGCCCTGGATTTGGGCAGGGAGCTGGAAGCCCCTCTCCAGGGAAGGTCAGAGCAGATGAGTGGCACAGCTGTCGCTGCAAGTGTTGCAACAGCGGCTGCTGGCCCTGCAAGGACCATGGGGACATGAGGGGGCGTTGGGGGGGTGGCACAAGCACAACCGTTGGAGCCACCGAGTTTCACTCTCGCTGGCTGAGTTCCCCTTGGGCAGCAGAGATGCAGAACTGAAACCTCCAGCTGTATGGACGTGGGGGCGGCCGGAGGCGCGGGAGGGCTGGGGGCCATGCACCACCACACACACCAGTGACCAAAGGCTGCTGGGGCACCGGGGGAAGCGTAAGAGCAGAGGCAGACAAGGCTTTCCTCTGCCTCACAGCGCCCATCGTGCTCCTGCCCTCCCTGCACAGCTGGGCCACCCGGCTCCTCGCAGCCGGCACATCTGGTGGGAGCAGAAATACCCCTGGGCATGCAGGTACCCACACCTGGGCAGGCTCCAGCTGGCATGTCCCCACTCCACCAGCCTGTCCAGGAACTGACACTGCTAAAGGACAGTGCCATCCCAGCCCACTGGACAAATGCTGGTCAGAAGGACCACGACTGCCAGCACGGAGTGGTCCCAGCACCAGCAGCATCTCCTGCTGCAGGGAAACTGAGGCACAGAGAGGGGACGTGAACCACAGAGCTGGACACAAACCCCAATTTCCTCCCCTTGAGCAAGCCATTCACCTCCTTGTCCCAACCTGCTGACACAGCAGCTCAAGGAAGACTCCAAAACTGAGCCCAGAACCCCCAAGAACATCATGGAGGCTCCTACAAGAGCACGGGACACCAAGATGTGGGTGTCCCACATCCCAAGCACCCAGTGTTTGCCCTCACCCTGGTGACAGTGACAATACTTCAGGCCACATTGCCACCTGCTGGCACCAGCCCTGGGGGCCGAGAGCGCTGGCACCTTCCTTGGTGGGGACAGCAAGTGGCTCTGTGCTGGGAATCACATCTGGGTCCATGTCCAGCTTCGGG